CCACCACAACCAGTCGAAGAGGACATCAACGCTAAGCATTGATCTGTATCACATCTATTTTAAGATTGTAGATAAGTAGGAAAGTTTGGTAAATTAATTTTAAAAAAAATCTCCCTTTTGATAAATCCCTAGTTACCCAATACATTTAAAGTGAGGGAGGGATTAAAAACGCATTATCTTTGAATTTTCAAATGCTTCAATATTTGTGCGACCTGAACTTGAAACAATAAAACCGGCTTTTTTAAGCATAAAACAGTCGAGATGATACTTCAACAGTTTTCAAATTGGTGTGGTTGCTCAAGGACAAACATACATTTGATTTGTTTAAAATGTTGCTGTTGTCCAACAACAAAAATTTCTGCTAAGATGCACTTGAAAATCTTAATATACCAGAAATAACAAAAAAAGCATCTAATACAGGTATTAACATAACCCACATCTCACAAAGTTATGTTAAAAACCGGATTCCTTAGTTGAAGCTTTTGGCTATGTGAGCAAGCTAGTCAGCGAAACAGTCTCCATGTAGTCAAGCACATGCAATAACAACCAACCATCCAACCAACTTAGCAATAATTGTGTAAAAAATCAACCAGACAGACGGACGGAACTAATGAAACATAGTCACTATGATAGCGGTTTCACGTCGATGTTCGAACAACGACCTCACACTTTTAGCAATGACAATGACTTTCCAAAAAAACACACCACACAAGCTAGTAGATGTGATTTTCAAAAACCCAAAGAAACAGAGGGCCAAAGAATTTCTTTTTGGTTAGCATTTTGCACTTTGATCACGGCGTAGCCATGCCAATACAGATGCGATACGATACGATACGATACGATATAGGTAGGTAGTGTGTACACACATTCATATTTAGGTTAAACATTACTCTAGCCAAATAAACTCACCTGCGTCTGCTATTCATCTTGCCATAGGCTATAATCCAGAGGGCGGCTGAAATGCCTGTTAGACCCACAATCGCACTTTGATTTTCGCGTAGTTTACTTAGAGCGGGAGCCATGTCTACTGTTTAATTGATAAATCAATAATTCAACACAAATTTACTACAAATAAGTTAGTATTACTTGTATTACAAATACACAGAGTATATTTTCACTTGCTTTCGTGGAATTACTTAAAGGGGGAAAAGAAAATATTCCACTTGCTTTTGTTGTTTTGTTCTGGCCTTTTTTGCCTCTTAGAACTCTCTTTGCACTAAGCACAGCCTGTCGTCGCCGCGTTAACACCAAATAATGTCCGTTGATTAGTGTGGAAATGTCAAAGTGTTACAATTTTGCAATTCCTTCTCGCTCAATATTCACACAAACTCGAAACACTTTTCGTTTTTTTTTCTCTTTGCCTTTAAATATTAAACAAAACGTTGTTAATTAACCTTTGGCAAAGTGTTTTCAGTGCAATTTACATAAAAATCTGTCGAAATTTTCTTTTTCGTTTGGTTTTCTGTAATAGTGCTGGTTGTGCTATTTGACTTTTGTCGCTGTTGCCGCCGTTACGTTGTCGTGGTATTTACAAGTGTATTGGTATTGTATTTCGCTATTTAATTTGTTAATTTCTTATATACAACAAATTTTATTTTGTCAATCACAAATATCCCATCCCGTGCTTTGCTACTAAACAGTTACGAGTTTTCCACCGCACAAAACACATCTGACCATTGGTGGGGAATGTTTTTTTCTTATTGTGGAGCAGATGCAGATACACTCAGGGACATGTAGGTCGATTAGTTGGGTGGCACAACGAGACGATATATCGAATTGGTGTTATTGGTAGATAACCGAATTATCGATTAATGGTTTTGCTTTCGCTTCTATGCTCACTTTCGCCACGTTCATGTGACTTTTATTGGCAAATGGTAAAGTAGAGCGAACGAGCTAAGCGTTTTCTCATTTCGCGCGTTGACGCACACATGTGTTCTCTTCCAGAACTTCAAGACTTTATTATAAGTTATTACTACGATCATCGATTTTATCTTTATAATATCGGAGAAAATTGCAAAACTAGTAGATTCTTGCAATTCAATTAAAATATATTAAAATGATATGGTTAAACTCTACAACAGAATCAGCATTTGTACAGTTTTACTAGTTTTGCAATTTTTTGGGAAAACATACAGGAAAATTCCGTTATAGTAGTAAATAGTTTTACATTGAATTGTTTTTAACATGGTGCAATAAGGAGGTAGAACAGATTCGTAAAAACTACTAAAAATACAACGCTATAGCTATGTCCGCATTCCGCCAAATTATTTAAGGTAGTAAACGTCGATGTTTAGATAAAAAAAACTAAGGGTGCAAGTACATAAGAAGTCATTTATAATTTGACATTAATATGCCTAGCCATGACTTAAAGCTAACCAAGATTTTTTCCGCATTCGAATCCAGCCCTCGATTCCCCTTATAATTTGCCATTAACATGCCAATCCATGACGGCAAGCTGCTTATGTACCCTTGCCTTAAGAAATGCATAATAAGATGTTAAGAAGATGTTTTCCGACTAGATAGTTAAAAGGGTTGTTTGTTGTGTAAAATCAAATTTGCGGAAAAAAGTCATCCATAGAGTAATATACTCATTTTAGAATATACCATGGCCCAATAAGAAAGGTGGCTCAACTTCAATGAAACTAGGAAAAGTGGAACTCTGTACTGCTGCCTAATTGTGTCAAATATACTTTAGACATGCAACAATGGGTCTTGTTTAATTTATATATAATTTATATTTTATTTCACAAAAAATACTGTATTGTGGAAAGCCCACAAAAAATGTTTTATCTGCAAAATTGAATTCGAGATAGAGGGACAGTATTGTTTTATCCCAAAATTATACATTTTGTTGTCTTAGTAAAAAATTTAACATTCTTGCAGTTCTGGAATAGACCGATGATCAAAAGAAATGAAAAAAAAAAACATATGCAAGTGTGTAAAGGGGAAAGTACATAAAAGCGCTTTTTTGACTCGCTTAATGCTAGGAACACAATTGGAGCGAACGACGAATTTTTTCGCGGCGTATGTTCGCCGTCAAAAATAAAACACATATGTGTATATGGAAGTGCACACAATCACGGCACCGGCGAAAATTTCGTCGGTCGCCGCGAACTCAATTAGCTTTATTTCTATTTCATACGCCGGCGACCGGCGAACAAAACAGTACAAGGTGGCCATACTTGTACGAATTTTATGTGTTTTAGTAAATAAAATTACTTTTTACTTTAAAATTTGTTATGGTCACTCTACTATCTGTTACTCGTATAAAAAAACCTAATTAATTTGTTTATTTATTTGTGTACTTGCGCCTGAGTGAAGATGGATATCAGTGAATTTATAATAGAGAAGATGGACATAAGTGAAATTATAATAGAGAACGTAAAGAATTATGTGTTCTTGTATAATTCATTGTAGTCAACAAATGAGCAAAAAGTAAACAACTTCATCAGCTGTTATATAATTTCGTCGGTATTGTGTTCCATACGACGAATTTTCGCGGCTCATTTTGTCGCCGCGTAGGGCGAAATTCGTCGTTCGCTCCAATTGTGTTCCTAGCATAATTCATCGCCTGGCTTCTTCGTGAGTTTTAGATCGGTATGGCAACCCTTTTTTATATTGGAACTCATTTATAATTTTCAAATAATTTTTATATTCCATTACTATTTACGCTAGATGTGTGGCGTATTTTTTGTAAAAATAATTTTATTTGTCTGAATGGAACAATTGACATAAACAAGCCAAACTAATCGTTAAAGATTTGATTTTCTCTATTCTCTATACCCATATTGTTCTCGCGATTTCGAAACATATTTTTTGGGAATATGAAATCTTAAACAATATTATATTTTTCCCATGGAACATAACATGGTAGAAAAATACAGGTAGATGCATCAACGCTTTGGAACATTGATATGCCAAAATATTTTAAATGTCTTTTCAAATATAAGTAGATTTTTATGTTTTCTCATACGACGTCAATCGAAGGTTATTATAATACGCGTTTTTCAACAATTTTTACAAATTAAAATAATTTTCCATTCAACATTTTCAATTCCAAAATTGGTCATTTGCTAAATCGCATATGACAACGCTTTTCTGACAAACTTGACCTTGTCATTTTCAAGTAAAAGTCATTTTCATTCCTTAAATATATACGTACCACAAGTGGCATATTTACAAAAATAGGAATTATATTAATTTCGAGGTTCCTTATGTATAGGTCCGTCTTTGGGCGTTAAAACCCAGAGTAGCCACCTGAAAAATGATAGCAAAATCTTTTATATGGTTTCTATACTAAAGCGAAATGGAATCAAGTCAATTACACAATTACAAAATTCGATACGGCAATCTTTTACCAGCATTGTAGGAAAAGAAGCTGCGATATTGTTGATCTCTGAAACAAAATTCAACCATAATCAAGTCATACATGACTTATATTTTAGTTTTATGTTTTTGATTATATTTTTCCTTGACTTTTATAACCTCTAAAGATGTAAAAATGGTAAAAAAATAGACATTGAAGGGACATCAAATAGTAATCGTATTATTGCATGATATTCTCTTGGTAATTGTAATATGGAGGAAATTTTCATTTTTAATTGCGAAAGTTCATGGTTTTCGTTGGGTTGTCTATTTTTGCTTCAGACTCTTTTTGCAGAAATAATTGGCGATTTATTTCACGAAATTAATTTAAAGTTCATTTTGTTTATTCTTTTTAACAAAAAAAAGTGCCGATGTAAACAAAAGCCATAACTGCCAGTTTCATTTAAAAAAGTACTAATGTTATTGCCATATCTCTGAAAAAATCATTTATTTTAAAGGGACGATGTAATAATTTAACTCAGATAATGATAATAAGGGATAACAAAGTTGTACTATTAAGAAAATATATAAAAATACGCCAATGTCTGGCAAAGCAATTGATGAATTTGGTTTTTTGACATTAATTTCCCGTCACAATTTAAGCAGCCACATAGTGTTGTATTTCTTTCGCAGACAATGTGGTGTAGTCTCGACCTTGTAAGACAACGAGTACACTATTCAGCAACGAATAATTCAGCAAATACGAACGAATTGAAGCTACGAAAATTTTCAATCGGCCACATTATTAGGATCGTGACATAGTCAGTCAGCGTTGAAGCAGCGAAAATTTTCTTTTGAGGAAGCAAAGAACCTACAAAAGGTATGCAAAAGTTATTATCAAACAAGCAAATCGAAAAAAAACATCCATTATTTCTTATTTTACAACGAGATAAATAAAATTAAAACAGAGTAAGCAAATTTTATTGAAAATGGTTTTGTGTGTGGAGAACAAAGTTGAGTGATGTGATTACTGCACCACTATATGTAACACACCGTACGAATGAACGAACAAGAAGGGTGAGATACACAGCAAGCGCAAGCTAATGGAAGAAGAAAAAAAATTACATAACGAGAATTTTTATGAAAACTTTTTTCCATGGAGCATAACTGCTCCAAGCAATTATGCTACGTAGGTTTAAGGTTACTGTGGTGTAGGGGAGAGAACAAACTAGGACAGTAAGAAAAATTATGAAATATATTATGAAAAGGAAGTATATTTTTGCAATTGAATTTATTTAGAAATTTTGGTTTTCTAAAAAACAAAAAATGACAATTTTTAATGCACAGTTCAAGCGGAGACATAAAATATTCATGCGTTCAAGTTCATTTTTTATACAGGAATTTACGAAAAACACAAATACATTTCATTTCTACGCTAAAAAATAAAACAGGACCAATAACCATCAATCCCCAGTGGCTGGCGAATGGTAACAGCCATCCAAACAACATAACCAACAAACCAGCAGCAGTAAAGCAGCAACTCAGCCAAACAACAATCTAAGCAAAAAACATCGAAACTCGGAATCAAATCATTTGAAGCAATAAAGGCTGGTGGTAAAACACAACAGCTCTTCAAAGGCGGCGGCCCTAACAAAAGAAACGAGAATCAAGTAATGTCCAATTATATTCAATTTTTTACAAATATTTTTCTTTAAACTCGAAAAAAAAACAAATCAAAATATACTTTTGTAAAATGCCATTATATTTTCTTGTTAAATTCCAAAATAATACTTATGTAAATTGTATCCTGGAAAAATTGCAACAGCCCTTTGGCCAAATTAACAAGAAAATATTTTGAATGAGAAAAGAAATTTACCAATATTTTTGAAGAGAAATATAGCATGAAAAAAGAATAATAGGTATAACAAACCAAAAAAAAATCTGTAATGCAAAAACATAAACACAAAATTCTAATTATGAGGATGATGGTTTGATTTGCAGGTACTTGGCTCACATTGGTGGCTTGGTGCTAACAAACAAACATACAGACAGACAGACACCCAAACATAAAGCAGAAGTAAAGGCAAATAAATTTCGTCACCATGTCCAGTGGAAGTGGTGGTCAACGTATACGCCGAGATGAATTCGACATAGAGTCGAGGAGTGATGAGCATTATCATCACCGTAGAGGAGGTGATGATAGACGGAGTCATTCAAATCGCAGATCTCCTTATAGTCGACATCGTGATGATGATTATAGTCGTTCACGAAGCCGAAGTCGCGGCCGTTACGGCGGTGGTGGCAGCCAACGTCATGGAAACAGCAGATATTCTGTTAGTCGCAGCCGCAGTCGTAGCCGTGGTCATTCCTCGCGACGACGTCTTGACAGTGGCAGTCAACATTCTTCACATTCTAAACGATATCGTGATTCACGATCCCGCTCCTATTCTAGATCACGTTCCAGGTCGCCGGCCTACAACAGGCGGCAAAATCGTCATCGTGATTATGACACCGACGACAGAAGAGGCGGCGGTGATTACAAACGTCGTAGTTCCAAATCACGTTCCAGATCAAGATCGTCTTCACATTTTCGTGGCGATCGAAAGGAGAAAGAACAATCCCACAAGAAGACGCACAAGAACAACCTCGATGCTATAAAGGAAAGTGATGCATCTTCAAATGATAACTCACAAGAATCTAAACAAAGCCAAGACTCAAACTATGTAGGCAACCTAGAAGATTTGCCCTTGCCCCAGCAAAAAGATGATGAAAGCAAACAGCAAAATGATGCTGATAAAGGCATATACAAATTTGATGAAAATGAGCCAATTGATCGGGCTCGTATACATCGTGAAATGGAGGAAAAATTACGGCAGGCCTTGGCCAAAGAGGGTAAAGTCTATCCACCACCCAAACCGGAGGCATCACATCCGGTCTTTGCAAATGATGGTTCATTTCTGGAAATCTTTAAGAAAATGCAAGAGCAGCAACAATTACAGGTCAAACCATCAACATCAGTGGCGGCTGTTGTGCCACCGGCAATTGTAAATCCTGTAGTACCCATACTGGCTGCATCCTCTGTCAGTCCTGCAACAGCACCATATTTGGTGGCCACAGCCACTGGCAAAAGTGCACCTCCACCGCCGATTGTGGGTCGCCGCAAAGGTGGTAAAATTCTAAAAACCGGAGTGGTGGCCAAGCCGAAGGCTCAAACAGAAGTCAGTAATGATCCCAAGGATTTCTGGTCACTGTATTTGGCGGAAGTGAATAAATATAAAAACACAGCTTGTGAATCGGAGCAAGGCAATAGACCTCTAATTAAATAAACACAAAAAATAATCATAAAATGAACTAAGAATGCAAAGAACGAAGAACAAGAAATGAACTTGAAGAACATGAGTCTGTCTTTTTTGTAATGAACTGTGCATATATTTTTTTTTTACTTTTTCGATTTATAATTTTTACCTAACCCAATCAATTTTCGGGTTATTTTTTCCAAACTTATTTTATTTTTCAATTATGAATCTTGAAATATTCTTCCTATTCTTTTTGATTTCTCTTTCCTATTTCTAAGTGTAGTTTTTAAGATGTAGTTGTAAGATACATTTATATAACTATATAATATACGTATAAATTATATAATTATTATATATATGGTATACCACAAATTACACACACATACTCCCGTACTCAAGAAACTATAATACTTATTTGAAAAAGAAACTCCCCCAATAGATGTTTTCAAATACAGACAGCCAATCAATAAACAACAATACAGCACCTGGAACCCCAATCCACAATAAATAGTGACTATGAAGCAAATAATCCACAAAAAAAAAAAAAAAAAAAAAACGAAAATTTCTTTTGTTATCGGAGAAGAGAATAGTGAACAAAATTGTTTTTGTGGTCAATTCGTAGCAGGTTTTGGATAAAAATATGTGTTTTTTATCAACAATTAAATTATTTCAAAATCAAGCGAAGTGGATAATGTAATTGTTACAAGTGATATATAACAAATTATAACAAGTAAACAAGCTATATTTCTTACGTGTAGTTCTCGGGCACCACGTTAACAAATCGCCGGTATACAAGCCCTTGATATTTTATCTTTTGTCGTACTCTAACACATGGTTAGGGTGTCGGTACGCAACGAAATATAAAAATTAATTTCTTTTTTCCTTAATTCTAATCTTACGTAATAATCTACAATTTTTTTTAACATTTATATACTCTACCATGGTATGGAGTGTATATTAAGTTTGTCATTACGTTTGTAACACCTCGAAATATACATTTCAGACCCCACATGAGCATAAAATTCCATGTCTATTTAGTGATGTCCGTCCGTCTGTGGAAATTACTCTAGCTTCCGAACGAAATGAAGTAGATTGATAAAATTTTACTAAATGTATATTATGTCTGCAGGACTTTTGGTATTGAAAATGGGTCCTGTATGCCTACGTTTTGGTATAGCCCCCATATAACGGTACCTCCCGATATTCAGTATTTTGATGCTTTTAGCGACATTATTCACCGGAATAGATTCAAATTTGGCATTTGAAGTTCGAAATAGATAAGAAAATTGTCTGTGCAGGTCCCCGTCTTCGTATAGTGCCCATATAGGGGTACCTTCCGATGTTCGGCACTTTGTTGATATTAGCGACATTATTTACCGGAATTGTTTTAAATTTGGTATTTGAAGTTCGTAATGGTTACTACAGCCCAAGACAGATAATTGTCTGTGCGGGTCCACGTCTTCGTATAGCCTCCATATAACGGTACCTCCCGATATTCGGTATTTTAATGATTTTAGCTGCATTATTCACCAATTTCTTTTATTCAAGTTTCATATTTGAATTGTATGTAATGGTTTATGACAAAAGTTGCCTATGCAGGTCCACGTCGTCGTATAGACCATAATATAACAGGCCACATTCGGTAATTTTAAGATTTTAACAGAATTTTAAACGGATTTTTTTTTTTTGAAAATTGCCAAAATTGTTCCAAATGGTGGAGGATATTCAAAGATCGGCCCGGCCGAACTTACAGTTTTTTTTTGGATTTAATGAATACTTCCGTAAAATCTCAAATGAAAGTTATTAAGAAAATTATTAATTCAAAGCTTTAAAATGTGCGTGATATTTTTCTTTCAACACTTTATTCATTAAAATTTTAAAAGTGTTTCAGCGAGCGAAGGCTTCGTAAAAATGAAAAATGAAGTTATGTTTCGTTCATTTCCAGTGGTGCAGTATTATTTTGAAATCCACTTATTTTTATTTGCTTTGGATTTTGATCTCCCAGGCCTTGCTGGATTTTATTTTATGTCCTCTACCATAAGTTGGTGGGTATATTGTCTTTCTCATTCCGCTTGCACCACCACGTGGTCAGAATAAATTTCTAAGTCCGAATAAATAAAAGAGTGAAATTTTACATCGATATTTGTAGTACCCCCCAAAGAGGTTTGGTATTGAAACTGAGCTATATACAGGGTGAGATAAAAAACTGCAACAAAGTCAAGTGCCATAATTTTTCCAAAAGCTAAAAATGTCCGAAATAGCATCAAATGTTAGAATAAGTTTAAATTTCTTCGAAGTGGTCACCTTTGGCACGAATTATGGCCTTCAAACGGCCAATGAAACCGTCACACGCTACGGTATTTTGGTCCATTCCCGGCGAAGCGCTTGCTTGAGGTGATCGACAGTTAGTTATTTTTTAGTCCAACGGATTGGTATCCGGAGATTTTGGTGCTAAAAATGCTAAAAATGTCCGAAATAGCATCAAATGTTAGAATAAGTTTAAATTTCTTCGAAGTGGTCACCTTTGGCACGAATTATGGCCTTCAAACGGCCAATGAAACCGTCACACGCTACGGTATTTTGGTCCATTCCCGGCGAAGCGCTTGCTTGAGGTGATCGACAGTTAGTTATTTTTTAGTCCAACGGATTGGTATCCGGAGATTTTGGTGGCCATGGTGCGTTGGAAATGAAGCGAGGAACCTTATTTTGTAACCATTCTTGGGTGGCGCGTGCTGAGTCCTGTTGGAATGTCCAAGGTCTGCGGCCAAAATGTTTGCGTGCCTAAGACTTTAATACAACCTCCAGAATATTTTCGGGATAATATTCGGCATTTATTATGATGCCACGGTCGGTTAATACGAACGGAGAGCGACCATCGGCTGTTATGGCGGATCACACCATCACCATGGCCGGCGCTTAAGTTCTGGTGGCCAACCGATGGTGCACATTTTTAGCTGACCTCTTTGGCAAGTAAACACGATCATTTTGTTTGTTTACAAACTGCTGGACAAGCGACGCAGCTCTTAAGCTCTTTTAAGTCTATTTTCTTACTGTTGCCGTATAAGTTCTTGCACTTTTTGGAATTTCAATGGCTTTATCACGAGCTCATTTTTCAATATTTGCCGAATGGAATGTTGCGATATGTTCAGCTCACGACCCATTTTTCGAACCATTTCCGCTGATGTTGCAGTTTTCTTCCGTTCACTTCCTTGACTTCGGGTTACGCTACCAGTATCACGGTAACGAGCGATGGTACGAGACACAAAAGATTTATTCCCATTTAAATGCTGGAGTGCTCTAACGATAGCCACTTGTGGTTTTCCCAAAGCCATGATATACGGCCCAAGATATTTGATATAGCCTAGAAAGCTTAATGGACCCTCCAGAATATTTTCGCGATAATATATGGTATATATTGGCATTATTTATTTATTCGATTAATACGAGCGGAGAGCGACCATCGGCTGTTATGGCGGCCCACACCATCAACATGGCCGGCGCTTGAGTTATGGTGGCCAACCGAAGGTGCACATTTTCCGCTGACTTCTTTGGCAAGTTAACACGATAATTTTATTTGTTTACAAACTGCTGGACAACGAATGTTTTCTCATCGGAGAAAACCAAATTCGACAGTTCACCACTTTCTGTCAAGCGAAGCAACTCTTAAGCTCTTTTAAGTCTATTTTCTTTCTGTTGCGGTGTAAGTTCTTGCACTTTTTGGAATTTCAATGGCTTTATCACGAGCTCATTTTTCAATATTTGCCGAATGGAATATAGCGATATGTTCAGTTCACTAGCCATTTTTCGGCCTCTTCGACGGGGGTTTCGGTCAAGTCGCTTCTTTACTTTTCGAACCATTTCTGCTGATGTTGCTGTTTTCTTACGTCCACTTCCTTGCCGTCGGGCTGTTCTACCAGTATCACGGTAACGAGCGATGATAATATACACAAAAGATTTATTCACATTTTTGGCTGGTTTTCCAGCCAAATATAAAGAAATCACACTATCACGCTTGGATTCCATCACGGAAATTCTCACCAAAATGCATTTGTACGCTTGTAAACAATATAATGAGCTATCGCTGTAATAATTTTAACAACTGTCGGACGAGTGGCTTCGAAATGACAGCAGTCTGAAGATGGTTGCAGTTTTTTCATCTCATACTTTAGAATTCTTACTTGCTTCGGTATAAAATATATGTAAATGAATAAATATTTGTCCTATATGTGATAGTGGATGGATTGAATAACTCTCATCGCAGAGATTTGAAAAATAGTTATTCTTATTGATGAAAATCTGTCTTTCAACTCTTTTTAAAATAACCTCAATACACTGAGAAGAACACTGAGAAAATACAAATAGAGCGGTTTATTTTATATGATGATACATACATCACATTTCAAGTTTTAAGTGATTTAGTGATACGTGGTGCAGTAATGAAAGAACGCATTAGAAAAATTTAAAAATGATATAAAAAATTTAGAATATAAATAAAACCCATATGAGAACTTACTCTGTTTTAATTTATTTACATTATTATCTGTTTATACTAACATCAACTGATTCATGTCAGAGTTTCAGAATCGAATTTATATTGTTCAATCCAATTTCGTAATATTTTAAATGTAAACGAATGTTGCCACCTATCTAATCTCACAACGATTCTGCAATTCTGATTTATGTAACAAGACTATCTGCCAATCTAAATTAGATTCATAAAATAATAATAAAATTTCTTTGTATTTACTTTGCTTATTTTTTCCCCATCTTTGCTTAATAATAATTGCAATACAATTTACATACATCTTTCAAATCCCATTAAAAAATGCTTGTCAACGGAAAATTCAAAAATAACCTCATTTGGATGCTGTGCGTGTGTGTGCTTGTCCCCCATTCATTGTGTCAAAACAATATCCATTGCATTATTTATAGTCCCTTATACATAAAGTTTGTATTATTAATTTTACAACATTTCAAATTTCCATGTCATCGAAAAAAGGCAACACTACAAACATGACTAAATTGGAAACCGCTCCTTTTGATCCACGTTTCCCCAACCAAAACGTGACCCGTTACTGCTACCAATCCTACGTGGATTTCCATCGCTGCCAGAAGAAACGTGGTACCAACTACGAACCTTGCAATTACTTCAAGAAGGTCTTCAACTCCATGTGCCCCAATGCCTGGGTTGAAAAGTGGAACGACCAAATCGACAGCGGCACCTTCCCCGGCAGAATCTAATTTCTTCAGTATTGGTTAAATTGCTGTGCAGAAGAAGACACTTCTAATGAACACCTAGCTTTGTAACTGTCGTCTATTGTTATTGCAATCCACAAAATTACCATGAATTGTGAATTCTAATTTAAAATAAAACAAAGAAAAAAAAACGACAAAATGTTCATTTAAATTTTGAAAAAGAATGTAGTGAATTCGCTAAACCATAAATTTAATTTCTAAAACATTATAATAATGCTTTGTTGCAAATTCCAATAAAGAGAGGCTACACTTGATAATGTAGTTAATCGAGTAAATAAATGTGTGTCCATTACACATAAAAATACACATAGCGGAAGGCCATAACTTGAAATAAAATCGTTTGGAAGGTTTGTATGTTCCTCAAAAATTTTTGGGGTCATTGAGTTAGTTTTCAAACTGGGAATTGTTTTTTTTTTACATTTTTTTCACTGAGATAAGAACTTTTTAATATAAGGGGGTTATTTTTTAATACCATTAACCATATGGCCGGTTTGGTTTCGGTTTAACAATGCGCAGCTACACGAATTCGGCAACAGCTTCACTTGGAGACCATTGGTCCATTGTGGAATGAAAAATTTAGATATAGAGACGAGAAGAAGATTTTTTGTAAGGAGAAGTGTAGTTAGGATGCCTTTGCAAACTTGTAAATGATGATGGGATCTATGTTTGAGAAGAACGTTCGAGTTACTATCTCTCTCCTGCCAAATATGTAGCCTATGTCTCTTGTTGAATAACATGGCACGCCTGCACAGTAGGTTTTCAATTGTCTCTACCTCTTTTTCATCCTCACATGGTCTACAGTAGTCAGGGGAACCATTGACCCATCTTGAGTCAGATATCTGATACTGCAGTGACCGGTCAGTATGCCCAACATGATTCTTACATCAGACCTACTAAGTGAGAGAAGGGAGTTGTCTTTTCGAAATTACTCGCCGGATGGCCTTAGATACCCTGCAACTGGTTTCCAAGTGCCATATTTTTCCTGTTTCTTCTATGAGAGACTTTTTAAGCAGCTGACATAATAGCTTATTGTTGTTTTAAAAGTCTCATCAATCGGTATATCACGTTCCCTTGAGGTCAGACATCTGATACTGCAGTGACCGGTCAATATGCCCACCACGATTCTTAGATCAGACCTACTTAGTAATAGAAGGGAGTTTGTTCTTCCCGAAATTACTCGCTAGATGGCTATAGATACCCTGCAACTTCTCTAAAAGAGATTTTTTAAACCGCTGACATAATAGCTTATTGGTGTTTTAAAAGTCTCATAAATAGGTATTTCAATCGAATGAGATCCGCCTCGAACTAATTCATCAGCCCCTTAATTCCCTACCATACTGATATCTCTTGGAACCCTACAGATTAGGGATTGGTTCTTAATATAAGGCGGTAATTTCCCGATATAGTTACGGTCCATTTTGGTGCAAAATTAACTCGAAATCAGTTGAAGATATATATGGGAGCTATATCCAAATCTGAACCGATCTTGACAAAATTTGATAGACTTATTTCGGATCTGTATCTGATATTCGGTACCAAAGATCATTGTTGTGGAATGCATATTACGCTTGTGAGGGACTTGAAACCCCAAATCGGATAAAACATATATATGAAATACATATAAAAAAAACATATATATTGAAATACTTGTTTATAGGATGAATTCATGAATATACCAGATATCTGGTACCAAATATCATTATTGTCGAATGCATATTACGAATGTGAGGTATTGAAACATCAAATCGGATGAGAAATATATATGGGAGCTATAGCTATATCTGAATCGATTTTTACCAAATTTTATGTACATGCTTCCAGACTGAATTCGATTGGAGGTTCCTAAATTCAGGTCATTTGGGCTGGTGTTGGCCAGTTGGTGCGCAATTAACCCGAAATCGGTTGAAGATGTATGTGGGAGCTATACCCAAATCTTGATGAAATTTGGCAGATTTATTTCTGTGCTGTATCTGATAACTGCTGCCAAATATCATTGTTGTCGAATGCATATTACGAATGTGGGGGACTTGAGACACCAAATCGGATAAAACATATATATGACAGTTACAGCTACATCTGAACCGATTTTCACCAAATTTGATGAACTTGCTTCTACACTGAATTCGGTTGGATGTGCCAAAATTCAGGTCATTTGGGCTGATATTGACCATTTGGACGGACGGACGGCCTGACATGCATAAATCTACACAGAAAGTGATTATATGAAGATCCTCAAAAGAAACTATGGGTCTATCTCGCTTCCTTCTCCATGTTACAAACAAATGCACAAAAACATAATACTCTTACCACTTGTGTGGTAAAGGGTATATAAACATCGTAAAGCATATTTTCCCTTTATGTCAATCCAACAAGATATGTAACACAATAAAGAAATTCCTGCTTCAATCGCTGGATTTAATTTTTTTTTTTTTTCCAGAGAAAACATTTATGTTCTCATCTATCTTTTCCCTTACGACTATTTGAGAAAATTTGTACTATTAAGCTTTTTTGATTCTTATTTTCTAGATATCCTCAGGTTTGTAATACACAATAGCGATCATTTCTGCGTTCGAATCTTGGCTTGACATTTTGGTTTTGTTTTTCTTGACATGCCACTTTGCCTCATCGCTTAAAAAAAAAAAAACAGTTTCGCCTCCTCACTGTGCAATGTGATGCCAAATGAATACTATCATTTTATATTCAATTCCAAATTTGAGTACGACTTAATCGATCGTCAGGGATGTGGTGTGGTGGGTGTTTATCTGGGATATGCATGGATGTCACTCACACTGTAAATTGTAATTGTTAAGCCCTCGCTTCACTTCAAGATTGTTGTCCTTGATGTGTAATAACGACATGAGGTCATATGCGATCTCATATCTCTATTAAAAATGGAAAATAATCCGAAACATTATTTTATATATTCACATTGGGTTCCTCACCTATAGAAATTCTGCATCTGTTTTTTACAACGCATTGCAGCAAAAGATAAAACAACAACAGTCAAGTGGTTGTAACAACTGCACACTGGTAGGTATGTATATGTATATTTACAAATAGGTAACTTCTTTTTCTAAGGAATATGTTTTAAGATGTTTTCCCCAGATCAACATCAGGATACAATACAACAAAATAGCTACAAATTAGAAAAGGATTTATAAGGAAACTTCATATTTCGAAAATAAGGAAGAAATATGAACTAGTTTTCTTATAACATACAAAAATCTAATAATAAATACATGTTTCTGGCAAATTTGCAATCGGATGGGAAAATAAAACCGATGTAATAACAAAAGGAATTACAAGTAGTTTGAAATAAGACCACGAGGTTACTATTAATCACATGAACCATCTAGCCAGCCATCCCTCCATCTTTCGTTCACCTTGCTGCAATCGAACTCGGGTTTGCCTAATTTGACATTGACTCGATTGTGGAACTGACACAACCATTGTGAGAAGTCCTTTTGAGAATTAACTTGGACCGGATTTTCTCGAAGGCTATAAAAATAAAAGTAGAAAAATTAATGTTTCAAGGGCTATTCAAACAATTGCATCATCCACTATAACATACTCTTTACGAAAGTCTTGAGCACAATATTCGCAGGGATAGAGACGTGATAGGACATCGAAAAAGGTTTTGACATCCTTCTTTTGATTATCTGTGGGATTATCCGAATAGAATGCCGCCATGGTGTGTAATAAGCCCCATGTCGACTGGCCCAGACGCGATTTATCTAAAGGACAATCTTCACGCGGCATATTAGTATCCTTGGCACCGCCGTCTCCACCAGCCTTTGCTGCATCTTTCTATCAATTAGGAAAACAACGAAACATGAGGAGCAAGTTGAGTTTAGGGGCTATGCTCGGATCATTTTGAAATTTTTACCGCAGGTAGGTATTTGTAACCTGATTACGGCAATGTAATTTTTTTGTGGGGGAAATACCCGGTTACCCGGTTATTCGACCCAAAAGTTCGAATACAACATCCGGTTTGTATCCGGTTCTACGTAACCGATATCAATATCATTTGAAAGCTTATGAAAATACCTATCCAACAAGTGGTCATATGACGGGGTTGCTGGAACCGGTTTCGGAGAAATTTAGGAAAATTTGCATTTTTGTATGAGTACTTTTTGAAAAACCCATAAAAACTCGAAAATGGACCCATTATAGGGTCTTAAAATCTATACACTATATTATAGCTAACACTATTGCCTTTCCAAAATGGTGTCATATGTGTTGATATCTTTTGTGGTTCCGTGGATATAAGAGATAGAATTCATTAAATTATATTTTTCTCCAGTCTAGATGCATTTGACTTTGACCTTTATAGCTTTTTTAAGCAACCGGCCTTCGGCCGGGGCTTAAGATTTTCTCCTCTGGGGTATGTCCAACACCGGCTACGCGATCCATAGTTTTTCTAAAAATTGTACATTTTGTAAGTAGCCGGCCTTCGGCCGGGGCTTAAGATTTTCTCCTCTAGGGTATGTCCAACACCGGCTACGCGATCCATAGTTTTTCTAAAAATTGTAATTTTTGTAAGTAGCCGGCCTTCGGCCGGGGCTTAAGATTTTCTCCTCTAGGGTATGTTCAACACCAGCTACGCGATCCATAGTTTTTCTAAAAATTGTAATTTTTGTAAGTAGCCGGCCTTCGGCCGGGGCTTAAGATTTTCTCCTCTGGGGTATGTCCAACACCGACTACGCGATCAATAGTTTCCTAAAAACTGTAGTTTTCGAAAGTAGCCGGCCTTCGGCCGGGGCTTAAGATTTTCTCCTCTGGGGTATGTCCAACACCGGCTACGCGATCCATAGTTTTTCTAAAAATTGTAATTTTTGTAAGCAGCCGGCCTTCGGCCGGGGCTTAAGATTTTCTCCTCTGGGATATGTCCAACACCGACTACGCGATCCATAATATTCTAACAACACCAAATTAAAAACAAAGCAGATTAACAAGAACGTTAAACCCGACACAAAACTTGGGTTCACTCAAACTGCTTTCATAAGTAACGACTTTAAAAGTCAATATCTTCGGAACTACAAAAGATATCAACACATGTGACACCATTTTGGAAAGGCAATAGTGTTAGCTATAATATTGTGTATAGATTTTAAGACCCTATAATGGGTCCATTTTCGAGTTTTTATGGGTTTTTCAAAAATTACTCACACAAAAATGCACATTTTCCTAAATTTCTCCGAAACCGGTTCCAGCAACCCCGTCATATGACCACTTGTTGGATAGGTATTTTCATAAGCTTTCAAATGATACCCATTTTATTGATATCGGTTACGTAGAACCGGATATAAACCGGATGTTGTATCCGAACTTTTGGGTCGAATAACCGGGTAACCGGGTATTTCCCCCACAAAAAAATTATATTGCCGTAATCAGGTTACAAATACCTACCTGCGGTAAAAATTTCAGGTCAATCCAAGCATAGCCCCTAAACTCAACTTATGCCAAACATGAATTGTCATCCTATAACCAAGAAAGTACCAGTGCTTACATCAGTTGCCTTCTGAAAAATGTGCCTTTGCTGTTTTGACCATGATTTGAAATCGGTACATGTGCGGCAATTGGTATCCGGTTTAGTTGGTGTTCCATAGGCATCATAACTTGCCATGTTTGTAATTTATTGTCGGTTCAATTTAGCAATTTCTGGAAAATTTGCGAAAAGTCGTCCAAGTGCGGCCGGGATGAATAGATCAAGAACAGCTGATCAATGTTGACAATTGAGAAATGTCTGGTGAGTGGATAACGGCGGCGAGTGATTTTATTTTGACGGCGTTGAATACGTAGCGTTTGACAACAGCACGTTTACATTGCATTGTTTTTTATTTTTTTTCAGTGATATGCGAAGAGCAAAGTATGGACGCTGTTATTATTTTAATTGCATTGCTAAAATTGAAAATTCTTGCACGTAAACCATAGTTTAGTATAATAGTAATACCAGAGTGTATGTTTTATGGAATGTAAAAGAAGTGGCAATCTTATTACTACGAAACGTAAAATGTCAATGAACTAAAAAAATACGACAGTAATGAATTTTTAAAATAGAATTTATTGCTACATTCATGGTTTTATTTGCATAACACATATTTATTCAACCAGAGCGGGTTTATATTATTGAAGGTAACACTCTGGGTTTAATAGATCTAGTGGACAAATCTTGTGAGGAGGACATAAATGCAGATAAAAGTTTAAAATCATGGTATATAGAAAATGCAGAGATGGAAATGCTTATTTAAAATGACTTTACCTTTTAAATTTTATCACCTTTTAAACGGTAACTTCGACGCTTCATTTTAGATCCAACTTTCAAATACTATTCGTTTACACTAGCTTAAAATGATATAAAATATCAATCAGCTGTTTTTGTTTACGTATACATACACGTATTCCAACCGTTTTATACCCAGTAAGGAAAGGTTAAAAGTCGGGCGGAGCCGATACTCTACACCACTAGGCCAACTTAGTAGAACTCTCGTAACAAAAAAGTTTATGTTGGGAATTTATGTGAAGTAGATCACACTAACTATGAACCAACTAACATTGCTGTAAAGTGAATAATATGACATCGATAAGGATTATATAAAAAAATATTTCTTGGTAAAATTCGGCTGAATACGAAAAAATCTATTCAATTTAAGCTTATATTACATGTATGGTGAGCAATAACCGTAAAATCGGATGAAGATGTGTATCGAAGCTATATAAAAATCTAAACCGATAAAATTATAGCGGAGGTATTTTCGAGCAGTATCTGATGCCAGGTATCAAATATCATTGTTGAGGAGTGCATATTACGCATGTGAGGGATTTTAACACCAAATCGGATGAAATATATATGTATGGGAGGTATATCTATATCTGAACCGCTTTTCACCATAATCTGAAGCGTTTGATTTTAGGCTGAATTCCGTCGTAAGTGTCAAAATTCAGTCCATTTGTGTTGATAATAGCCTTTTGATGCACAAAAAACCTGAAATCGGATAGTACATATATATGGGAGCTAAAGCTATATCTAAACCGATTTTCACCAAATTAAATGTACTTGCTTCTAAATTGCATTTAGTCGTATATGCCGAAATTCAGGTCATTTGGTCTGATATTGGCCATTCGGTGCACGATTAACCCGAAATCGGTTGAAGATTTATAAAGGGAGCTATATTCAAATCTGAAAGGATCTTGGCAAAATTTGAAATACTTATTTCGGAGTTATATCTGTTATCTAGTACCAAAGATCATTGCTGTGCTATGTCTGAACCGATTTACACCAAATTTGAAATACTGGTTTCTAGGATGAATTCAGTCGTAATCGCAGAAATTCGGTCTATTTGGTGCACAATAAACCCGATGTTGGATAAAGATATATATGGGAGCTATATCCTAATCTGAACCGATCTCGATAAAATTTAACATACGTATTTTCATCAGATGCCCGGTACCAAATATCATTCTTGTGGAGTGCATATTACGTACGTGGGTACTTAAACCCCCAATCGGATGATGCTTATATATGGGAGCTAAAGCTATATTTGAACCGATTTTTTTCCAAATTTGATGTACTTGGTTCTAAACTCACTTCGGTTGGATGTGCCTAAATGCAGGTCATTTGGGAGCTATATCTAAATTTGAACCGGATTCAACTAATTTCAATAGGGTTCGTCCTTGGTTAAAACGAATATTGTTTGGAAAATTTTATCTCAATCGGATAATAAATGCGACCTGCATTTTGATCACAAAAAATACATGGACAGACGGATGGACGAACGGACTGACATGTATTAGCCGACCCTTAAAGTAATTTTATGAAGATCCTCAAAAGTAACTATGTGTCTATATAGCTTCCTTCTCCATGTAACAAACAAACACACAAAGACATAATACCCTTACCACCATGTGGTGTAGGGTATAATTATTTTTTTAATATTTTTATTTTTATTTAATTTTACTCAAATTCATTATTAGTTTTCAAAGCATAATGTTTTTTTTCAATAAACTTGACAAAAAATGCTGTGCACTTTTTCCACTTCAGCCGTATGACAACATAGTTTGTTTCAATCCATTCCATAGAAAAATAGTAAAGCACGCCTGATACTACTGCAGCATAAACAGGTGACATCAATGTCTACATAAATAACCCCAACCGATTCACAGGAGTCTACGTCATAGTTAAGCAACAACCATCCTTCCGTGCTTTCGTGAAAAAAACGAAGGCAAAACATATGAAACACGAGAGTACAAACTGAGAAATTACTTCGTTTGATGTTTTTCCATTTAACCCCATCAAATTGTCGTGTTCTTCTTCTTGCCTTTCATACTCTCACTTTAATAGACAACAAAACGGAAACCAACAAAAATGTTAGGCTATTTTGTTTTATCAAGTTTTACTACTGTTGCAAAGGATAACAATAACAAATGCAATGCGATAGAGAAATAGAGACCGATTTTATGCGAGCGAGCACCTGTAACACATGTTCTCTGTTGTGAATAGTTCAAATGGTTATAGGGTTGCCATTGAGTGAGTTTATTAAACGAAGGAAAAGTTTGTAAAAACTCACCAAAACGTGAAACCAAGAGAGGGAAAAACATACTCTTCTCATTGTTTAGTGGACCCATTTAGCAGCGCTGCTCAATAAAAAATATGTCTAATTTCTCTTTGCTTATTTAAATCAAGAACAAAATAGTGTTAAGTTATTATTTATACAAATATTTTTTATCCATTTGCTTTATAAATTATTTTGGCAAACATTCATGTTTAAAAACAATTAAATGGAATCGTAAAATATAAAGAAAACCAGAATTTTAATTTTCCCTTAAATTATCTCTTTTTTTCTCATGTTCTAGAACACGGTTTTGAGCAGGGCTGCTTTTAGGCAATTCTGGCCAGCCACTATAAAAGAAATTCTAATGTCTCAGTTACTAAAGGACGATTTTTTCTACATAAACTCAAAATGAAAATAACATGGAGCAGGAAGTGAGATCGAAGCCATAGTTACTTTTGAAGATCTTCATAGAATCACTTTCTGAGTCGAATTATGCATGTCAGTGCGTCCGTCTATCCATGTATTTTTGTGAACAAAATTAAGGTCTCATTTATTATCCGATTAAGATGAACGTTTCCAAACAACATTTGATTGGCCCAAGGACGAACCTTATTGAAATTGGTGGCAATCGGTTAAAATTTCGATGTAGCTCCCATATATATCTTCATCCGAGATCAGCTTTATTGTGCACCAAATGTCCAATATCAGTCGAAATGACCTTAATTTTGGCATATCCGACCGAGCAAGTAAATCAAATTTGGAATTGAAAATCGGTTCGCATATATCCATAGCTTCCATATATATGTTTCATTCGATTTGGGGTTTTAAGACCCCCACATGAGAAATATGACCTCCACAAGAATAATATTTGGTAGCAGATATCAGATATCGCTCAGAAATAAGTGCTTAAAATTTTGTCAAGATCGGTTCAGATTTGGATATAGCTCTCATATATATCCCGAGCCAACTTCGGGTTATTTGTGCGCCAAATGGCCAATATCTGTCCAAAAGTCCTGAATTTTATTACATCCGACCGAATTCAGTCTTGAAGCAAGTATATCGAATTCGGAGAAAATCGATTCAGAGTAGCTATAGCTCCCATATATATGTTTCATCCATTTGGTGTTTAAGTCCCTCAAATTCGTAATAGGCATTCGACAGCATTGATATTTGGTATAAGATATCTTATCTTATCTCGGAAATACCTCTGCCAAATTCTATCAAAATCGGTTCACATTTGAGTATAGTCCCATATATATCTTCTAAATATGCATAGTGGTGCATAGGTAATCATATGGTCGGTCCCGCCCGACTTTTGCCTTTTCCTTATTAATTTTGACTTCTATGTGTTTTTTAAAAAATCACCCGATATTAGTGACAATTTAAAATTTCTTGTTTTGAATAAACAATTTCTTGCACATTGGCAACCCTGATGGCATGCTGTAGCTGCACTCGTCGCTGCAACAGCATTACTACTGTAAACCTGTTGTGATTGTGGTCGTTTGTGGCACAATAGTCAGCTGCGTCCCGGCTTCCCCTCTGCTGGTGGTGAATTTCAACGCACACACACAAAGCTTTTCGCCTCCTCCCCCAATCTACCACCAGCAAGTGGGCAATGTTAATGTCATAAGGCAAGCTTTATTCCTTGTTCAAAGGAAAATCAAATACAATGACAACAACAACAACAAAATATGTTTCGTTAAAAAGCTTTTCGGGTTTCCTTGTTGACGGTGTTGAATAAATGTTAAATCAGTCTTCGTGAGGTTCTAGACGTGTTAACAACATACTGACCGCATTAGACAGGACGAAACGCGTTTTTCAACCACTAGAAGTTGAGGAAGTTACAAAAACACACACACACAAAAGAAAAGAAAAAAAAACAAGAAAGAAAAATAAAAAAATCCAAAGAAAGGAAAAGTTACTAAATTGATCTGAAAAAAAAAAAAAAATAGAAAAAAGTGATTTGGGGGGAGATAATGTCAAAATGTTGCGAAATTATTGTGATGGAACAGCAATGGTGAGGGGAATGAATCCAAAATTTAATTGAGAAGAAGAAGAAATACAGAAATTCAATAAAAAAAATTAAGTGAATTACAAAACAAAAAATATCTTATATAAGCTCTTTACTACTTTTGAAAGCTAAATAACAAAAACCGTTTACACATAGTTATAGACGTTGAATGTCGTTGT